GATGTTAAAGCTGGACAAAAATAAGTAGTCATTGAAAATAGCAGTTTTTTATCCATTTCTGACACTTTGAAAAATAATATACTCAAATATATTTTCATATGCTGATATCAAATAGATCGATACTGCGTTTTTAAAAATCAATTTGATATCAGCATATGAAAATATATTTGAGTATATTATTTTTCAAAGTGTCAGAAATGGATAAAAAACTGCTATTTTCAATGACTACTTATTTTTGTCCAGCTTTAACATCGGTATCGATATTGGTTATCGGCTACATGAGTTTTAAAATATCGGCATATCGGATATCGGCCAAAATCCCAATATCATGCATCCCTACAAATAATCTACTTATATAAAACTAACTTACATAAAGCCTGGCCCCTGCTGGTATATTTGCTTTAATGGCAAACATGCAGGTTATTATTAAAAGGTGACATAAATTGAAATCTGACTGGGATAAAGTGTAGCATAAAGATACCAACTTTGGAAAAATGTCATTTTCTGTGCATCACATAAGGAAATATTTGGGTTTTAAGCTTTAGAAGCTTACCTGCTAGCATAGTTGGATTCACACTCCAACAGCTCATACCCTCCTTTTTCTCACAATTACTTCAATTTGTCTAACTGACGATTGCTTCTGTCTCCTGTCCCTCTGCACCACCCTGCCATCAATGCTTCTCTTACTTTCCCACCTATGTCCCTGTCTGTCTGCGCCCCCTCCTCCTCCTCTCAGCGGTCTATCTCCTGCCCAGTCGGAGTTTAATTATCTGAACACAGCACGCTCGCTGGAGCTCTATGGGGTGGAGCTGCACTATGCAAGGGTGAGTAAGGTTTAATTCCATCTGTGTTATTTCCTGCGTATGTTTCTATACGCTAACAGCTACATGAATCTGAGCTCCACGGGGTAGATGGCTCGAATGTTTCCACCAGTTGCAGAGTGAAGCAGTTCTGCATTATTTCCATAAAACATTAATGCCCTCTCCTCCTAAAAGCTGTCTAGAATAGCAGAATCTTAAAATGTCTTTCATTTGTATTATTTTAACTAGATGGATGTGGAATGATAAATGGTAAAAGATTATTTTATTATGTAACCCCACTCTAAGGCTGAACGGAGCTTTCATCTTGTAATATCGGCTCATCCTGTTGAGTGAATCCACAGGATGAGAATTAGAGCAGCAGACTCTCAGCCATAATGTCATGATGGGGTGAAAATATCAAGAAATAAGCTGTGGGGCAAATAGAGGCTTACATATGGTTTCAGCTGAGTGGTAAAATAAATAGAAACAGGATGATACACATTTAGCATGTGTATCTTTATGTCGCTTATATTATCTTATTTGTTTTGCAAAGCAGTCATCTGCTCTTTTTGTGGTATTCATGTTCTCCTCTATAACTGTCCTTTAAAATCAACAAAGTACATAAGTTTTCTTATGTTCTGGCCTCGAGTGTAGCTTCAGGTTTTATCAGAATAAGTGGTGCATAGTTTTGAAATGGAAGGAGAATTATGCAGGCCCTTAACAGTATAAATAGCTGTATTTGTGTTCCTTAAAGTCGCAGGGAAGTCATATTTAAATGTCAAATCATTCTGGCTTAAACATGTATATAAATGTACTCTTTATCAGACCATATTGTCACAAAAGTTAGAAAATTTCTATAAAAAAAAAATCTGTGTTTTTCTCTCTCTGGTTATTTTATGCAGGCCAGTTAGTTATATGTCAGTCTGAACACCTAAATTCGGCCAATCATATATCAACGGTCATCTGTCAATCAAATTTTTGTAGCATCTTGATTCATATGTCGCAGCTAATATACACAACGATTGAAATAAGAAACAAGAATTATTAACTTTCCCATTGAGTTCCATCCCAATGTTCACGGGGATGGACGTCTGTGTCTTCCACAGGCGTAGAGCTAACAGAACTGGAAGCATTGCGAGGCAAGGGCTCAAACATGTACGACTGTAAGCCTTCTACACAAAACCAAGCTTCTGCTGCCCTGGCGTCCTCTTCCACAACATCTTCGTCCCCACTTTCATCCTCTAAATAAAAAATGGATGATGGAGGAGACTCATCCACGCCTCCGACACAAAACTCTCCTGTTTCCGCTGTCCATAGCGTTCCTTGATAGTGTCGTTTCTATGTCACCAATTTAGTGCTACTTGGTCCCAATGTAATTTCCCATTGGGAGTCTACTAGCACTAAGTTGCTAACTGGTTAGCTAGATGCTTCCGAGACATCGGCCACAACAAAACTTGCTTGCGAACCTTCCGCCACAACAATCACACCAACGACCAATCAAATTAACTTTATTGACTCGTGCAAAGTCAGGCACCACTCGGGAGAATTTGGAAACGCAATGGTTGGAACAGCCGCTTCCCGACGACTTTGAATATAGTCTTTTAACTGTAAATAAAATTCACATTCACACAGATAACTCCTGGATATTCTGTTTAGAGGATAAATATGGCTGTGTAGGAGGGAAAATATTGAAAATGGGATTTTTTAAAATCTTTTTGTCCTGTTCAGCCTGTCCTTATCATACAATGGGCTTGTCTCCTGTTTGGTTTTGTTGTTTTAGGACCAGAGCAACACAGAGATTCTCATTGGAGTGATGTCTGCTGGCATTGTGGTTTACAAGAACAGGGTACGAATCAACTACTTTCCATGGTGAGTCAAACACAAACCTGTTAAATGACCTCCAGACGTAATATTTATAGGGTTTGTTTATTTATTTTTGTTAGTCAGTGTTTTTTTTATTCAGCAAACATACGAGCCAGTAAACATTTAAGGCGTCGGACAAAATAACCCTGATCTCTGAAAAGGAACAGAGTGGTTAGTTCTCCTCAACATGACATACTTAACTAGATTTAAGTTGCTAAACCTCCATGACTTCAAATGCATTTCTATAACAGTTTTCACCTGTATTGAAGAAACTTTTGTAGGATTTTATAGAATTTCTGATGAATATGATCACATAAAGAAGAGGGTCTGGTTTGCAGTTTTTCTTTTGAGGTTTGTTCCAAAGATCCTCGCTCAGGTTGATGTCAGAGCACCACTGAACCTATCAAAGCTTGTCTTTATAGTTTTCATTATGTGCTCAGTTGTGGTCAGATACTAATAATCATAGTGTCCAAGTTTTCTGCTGAAAGTCTTTAGGAAATGTTTTCTTTGATGTTAAAAATGGCAAAAAGTGCAGAAAGTAATAGGTTGTGAAGTGAAGAAACTTGGTTGAGCACTGAAGCTCTGGTCCCAAATAAAATGCATGTGCCTTTTTTTCATGCTATTCTGGGTCATTTGAACCACAGCGTGACAATGAACTCTCACAGAGGGGGATAACATTCTGGTTTATACTCAGACTGCTCAAAGGAAAAGAAGAAACCAACAGGAAAGAAGGAAAAACAGAACGTCATTAAGTTTCTCAGTCTAATGTATGGTGGAGGGAGATGAGTTCATCTTAAGGAATGGGCCCGTTTTCAGTGTGTTCAGCCCTAACTATTGATCTCCACAACATCTGAATTTCTCATCAACAAATCTGATAGACATGAAATATACGTACAAATCCAAGAAGGTTCAAGTTTAGCCAGTTTTAGTATCACAGACATTCAAAAGGATTAGAAAGTAAAACATTTGTTATGTTCTGCAGAAGCTTGTCTGTCTTCCAGTTATTTCCACTGCAAGAGCTATGAGCTACTCTCATAGTGTCCTTTAGGTGCTTTGCAACTCTCCACCTCCTTTATAACTAGTGTTGCACCGATACCGATACCAGTATCGGACGCGGCCCCCGATACTGCCCTAAAATGATGGTATCGGTATCGGTGAGTACCAACAAATAGGGCACCGATACCATTTTGAGAGCTATATGCTTATTCAACTATTGTCACCCACTCCTGGTAGGCAATAAAAAGTTCTTCCGGATTCACTTTGTATTAGATTTTTTCCTGCTTCACAAAGGTAGGCAGCAGCTTGACAAAGCCATGATGGCAATTATTTTACATTATTATGGTATCGGTATAGGCCGATACTGCACAGCCAGGTATCTGGTATCGGTATCGGGGCCAAAAAATGGCACTATTTATAACAGACTATTTTGTCCAAAAAGGCTCTGTAGGTTTACACCCTCCTCAGAATCCCATGAAATTCCAAAGGAGTCCATCATTTTAGACCAAATATGTTTTGTTGCATTAGCCTTTTATCTGTGATGAAATGTTAGCAGACTTTTGGCCATCTCTGATTTATGTTTTTTTATAATCTCTATGGAATGTACAATGAAACTCCTGTTTACAGTAATAAATGCCAACCAAGCTAATCCTGCTAATTGGTTAAACGCTGAAGAAACAAAATACATTGCTGCTCTTAAATGCTTTGCTTTAAATTGTTTTAAATGAGAATCAGACTTAACAAAATAAAAGTTTAAATCACAAATCTTTGAATTGGGAACCACTAACTTTAACCTGAATGTTCATAGATTCAACTTGAATCATTTTTAGTATGAAAGGAGAAAAATAACAGCAAATTGTATGAAATTATAAGGAACTACTAATACACTGATGTGTCCCTAAATGACCATCATTAATAGTAACTTTCGGCTTCATATTTTCCTTTAGTTGCATTTTATTTTCAGCAGTGATTAATTAGGCTGCTTTTATGTGGTTTGGCAGCTACTAATCCCTGTTTTAACTAGGCTTTTTAAAAAGGTTCTATACCTGAATAAAGCAAAACATATGTTCTAGGGACTCTGTGAAGGAGTTTTTCTGATCAGGGATTACAGCTCCAACTGCTCAGAGGCAGGCGTCCTCTTTGGCTGACGGAAAGCCTGGCAGCTCTCTGCTGGAAATAAGAGTTCGGTGTGGACAGGAAACACAGCTGAGAAGCTCCTACACTGTTAAAACAAGCGCTCTTTGTTGATATTTATGTTCTTTGTCATTTCCACTGAAGTGGAAGTTCAAACTGTGGATGTCCTTGTTACAAACCAGCCTCTGTTGCCATCAGCCTGCTGCCAGCTCCACTTGAGCTGCCTCCAGAAACAGTTTTACACAGAACTGGCCTTCATAGCAGTTGAATATCTTAGTGATTATTGACAGTGATTATTAAAACCTAAGCCTCTGTTGAACTTTTGCTGAAAAAGCCCTCATGTATTATGATTTTTTTTCTGTCTAGCAGTGACCTGATGTGAAACCAGGCTTCCTGGAAACATTACAGTGATCAGATCTATTTGCTCTCACTGACCCTCCCCTCTGCTGTTGGTTCCTCTTATCACTCATGTTGTCTTATTCAATGAATCAGTACTTGGAAATCTGCTGCTGATGTATGATGAGGAGAAAAATGTCACCAGGGATAAAAGAGAAGCTGCTCAGAACTATTGAGCATGATTTACTGTGAACAGCTTTACAAGCTACTGAGTGTGTAAACTCTAATGAATTACAATATCACTGAAGAGTTTATTAAGTTAAAAAAAAAAGCTTATGAATATGATGGATTTATTACAAATTCTGTAATAGATTTCTGATGTTTTAATTTGAATAAAACAGCTAATTCCTTTTGACTTTTTTCCATAGATTCTTTAAGGGGGTTAAAGCCAACCAGCTCGGTTTATTATCTGCCTCGCCGATGCTGCTCTCTTCTTTTAAACCTTGATTTAAAGAATTTCTTTAATCTGAAAAGACATTATGACCACTGAACGCCTGTCTAGCTCTAGATGCTTGTGATATTGTCTCTGGTTTTCAGGGTGGCTTCACACCATTAAATGTTTGCCCACATTTTTATCCTGTTTTCTGGGTACGTCTTTGTGTTGCAGTCTAGATGCACTGCCTCCAGCTGAGGTCGGTGTCAAACCTTTCAGGTGTGGAGTCATTTGTGCGGCTCATTTTACTGTATACTTTCTTCCACCCAACTTTCCATTTAAATGCTGGGATACAGCACTTCGGGAACAACTTGCTTCTTTTGCGACTGCATTTAGAGGGCGTCTATGAAGTCAGCAGTCTTCCTCCCAAGATAGTGTAGACCATAAGAAGAGGTTTTTTTGTAATAAAATCCAGTTGTATTCATATTTTCACTTTCTGCAGAAGCTGGATTATGTTTTTTTTTTTTACTGATTCTGTGTATTTAGATTCATCTTTACGCTAAATTCAAACCAGTTTCTTAAAATCAGGAGGTTTAAATTCAAGCTGAAGCCTCCTAAGTTTCTCCACCCGACATGAGTTAAATTTAGAGACCAGCGCTGGTGTTTTCAGCAGCTGTTCAGCACGAAGACAGAAACTAGGGAAACCTAATCACCATCAACATCTCCCAGCTCTTTTCTCACCAACTTTCTGCGACTCAATGTCTTTTTTTTTCATCTTCTTCTTTGCAGAGTCTCACTTCTTATATCCTAAAATTTATTTAATTTCAATAATTTTTGTCCTCCTTTCAGTTCAAATTTTTTATTAAAATTTGGGGGTTGAGAAAAGAGCAGAGAGACATTAAGATTTTCCCCTCTTTCCTGTTTCTGTTTTCAACAGCCTGACAAATGAGCCACACTTAGATGGGGCATGACTCATGCTCTGTGTGTGTGTGGCTGTGCTGTTGTTGGCGATGCAAGTGTGTGTGAGTGTGTAAAATATATTTAGCAGAGAGCGATGAGTCACAGCAGCAGAACTCTGGGAAGGGATTATGTTACTCTGCTGCTGCTGCTCATCAGTGGCCGTCTTACTGTTGCCTCATGTGTGGTCCCCTGATTTTTACGCATAATTTATACCCCCGCTTTTCCATGTGACTAAAAAAAAAATATATGTACTGCCGCAACGCTTGGAGGCTCGAGATAAGCCTCTAACCCTGCTGCCTTAGAGGAAGGTTGGAGGTTAAATGGACATTATTACTGTGTTAAATGAAGGGGGTTTATTTGCACAAAGAATGGGACTTTAATAGAAAATAACAAAAAGGTTCCAAAAAAAGAAAAAAAAGAAAAATAACAATCCACTGGACTTTGTTTGCATGTTTGAAAAAAAAAATAGAAACGCTTCACGATCACGGATGTCATCCTCGCGCAGCGGCCTTGCTAATCTGGATGATGGATGATGGATGATGCAATGGATGACACGCGTGATCGTGAAGCGTTTCTATTTTTTTTTTCAAACTTGGAAGTCTAGTGGATTTTTTTTTTTTTTACTTTTTTGGAATGACTATGACCTAGATGACTGAGAATCTTCACCAGCATAACAAAAGGTTATTGATAAAATGAAATAAACGGCGAACATTGTCTTTATGTGGGATTTATTCTGATCTGGTCTTATAAAAACCTGACTTTTATTTTGGCAAAATGTCCCCACAGCTAAACAAAACATACGCTGGAGATTTTATTATTGATTTTTTTTTAATTATCAGCAAATTTAGTCGTTTTATCCGGTTTGTCTCCTGAACTGTAACGGAAGCCTCTCTTTTAGCAGAATTATAAACACTTCCATTGCATCACATAGACTTTTAGCTGGCTGCAAACCTTCATAGAACAGTTTTGCTCTTTACTATTTTGGCTGTAGACTTCTTTATTAACCAAGTAAAGGAATGGAGGGCCCTTCGCTCCTCATTGGAGGAACCTTACCTACACACTTCCATATTACTTGTTTGCTTTAGATTAGCTCAAAAACAGACGGCTTTGTAAAACTAAACTCCATGTAATACACCATTGCCACACATTAGGGCAGGGCTTTGTAATCTGCAGCTTCAGGGTGGCTCTTAATGGTTTGGATAAAAAGAACAAAAACAGTTTTAAATATTGGTATAACAACAGTACACGCCTCTTCAGTCTTTTAGTTTTTTCATTGAACAAATATTAATCAGCTTCCATAAAAGGGTACTAAAAGTGCCTGTAAGGTTTTTTTTTTTCTATATTACTCTTGTTTGGAAACTGTTGTTTGTTTTTTTATTTACCGTACATCAATATTTACAAAAATATTAGATCCCCTGGAAAAAAATGTAAACATCGTTTTTCGCAGAAGTTTGATTTCTCTTTACTTTTAAACATAACACTAATAAAAATAATAGGTTTTCCATTAATGACCAATTTCCTGCGGTAGATAACGAGAATAATTTATAAATCTGTTTTGTCTGAGTTTTGGTGCAGGGAGGATTATGGTGAGATTTTAACAGGGATCTTGGATCTAGTGAAATCTACTCTTTATATTTCAGCATGTCAAGCCAGCTAGGTCAATTTCATGCTTTCAATCATATGTGTTGGGGCTGACCTCGAGTTTCCAGCAAAACTTTGTACTGTAGCATTGCTGAAAGGAGCAATTGATTGACTTTAAAGTGGAATAACTTGGCCAGTCTGTTTAGCACTCTGATCTTAACCCGATAGAGCACCTTTGGGTAAATTAGAGCAAAGATTTGAAAGCAGACCCTCCTGTCCAACATTAGTGTTCAACCTCACTAATATAGTTCTGAAAGTACTATCCTGGATTTGCAAGAAAGCGTGTGGAGAATTAGTTTTGTCTTCTTCCCAGTAGCGTTAAGGCTTTAGAGCTGCAAAGGGTGGGACGACATCCTAAAAGCCCTGTAGGCTAAGAAAGGGGCGCGTCTATATTCCATGTGTTTGTGTGAAGGGCAGGAGAGGAAAACCTTCAAGGATATAGTGCATTTGCAGCAGAGGGTCAGCTTTACTTCAGGAACTAATTTTTGGTTTCACTTTTTATCATGGAATTAGTTTTAGTTAAGGTCCATTTAAATCTAATTTTAATATTATTATAATTTTTTAAATCTAAACTCTAATCTCAACGTTTGTTAGAACCTTGTAAAACCAGGTTAGGAATGTATTAGCACACAGTTCTGTGTTGATATCGAGGAAGAAAGTCCGGTTTTAACATTTTATCTGTGTTAGAAAGACAAGAGCTGACTTTAATACTGTTTCCTTTTCTAACTTCTAGGTTGAAAATAGTGAAAATCTCCTTCAAGTGCAAACAGTTTTTCATCCAGCTGAGAAGAGAGGCGGTGGGTGTACACTCACACTACTATGCTCACCCACTCACACAAACATATGCGCACCTCTATTTCACCCACCCACTGCTCTGTAATAAACAGCTGGAGATCTTTTCCAATCTAATTAGCCAGTTGTATGAATTTACTCTGTATGTATTGAAGTAAAGCATTTCAGCTCTGCTTTGTCTTCCTCTGTTTCTGTCATCAGGTGTCTGACCAGTCTTTGCCCTAACATCTATGTAGTAATCCTCCTCTTAAACCCTTTGTTTCACATTTGGATTGCTCTATTTTCTGTCAGCCTTTTGTGAATGTACTGTCATTTTTGGAGCTTTTCAGTAATCCTATGTTTAAAGGGCATATTTAATCAGATTTTAGGGCCTGAGGACCTACAAAGCCCAACAGTAGCAACATAAATAATTCACCATCTGGCTTTTTGCTGCTTTTACAGCAGAGGAGAAGTTTTTACCTTTAAAATGTACTGATGTGTCAGCCTTTGAAGGCGTTGCTTTATAAAACTGAACCTGCTTAGCAATATATGAAGTGGAAGGTATTAAATATAACAGAGTTTAAACACAAATCGTCCATACATATAAAATCAATGGAGGTTTACACCACTAAATAAAGAAATGGAGAATTATGTCCTATATCTTTTACACGTGCTCCCATTTTAGGCTATTATTTATGTTTTAATTCAGTGAAATTTGGAGTTAATATAAGAAAAAAAGTATTCAATAAATACTTTAATGTTGATGTTGTAATCTTTTCTGGTTTTCATTGATATCTCCATTCATAAACCTGAACTTATTTTTAGGGAATTGTTTCTAAATCCAGCCGTCTGTTCCTCCATCTATGTGTTTGCAATAATCCATCAGTCTGTCAATTTTGACCATCATCAGTCAGTTTATCCCTCTAGCCACTCAGTAACTGATGTTTTTCCTTCTGCGTGCAGACGGAAACCCGGGAGACCCTGCTGGGCTTCAATATGGTCAACTACCGGGCGTGTAAGAACCTGTGGAAGGCCTGCGTGGAACACCACACTTTTTTCAGGCTGGAGCGGCCCATACCGCCGCAGAAAAACTTCTTCGCTCACTACTTCAGCCTGGGCTCCAAGTTCAGATACTGGTGAGAGGATCTCCCAGTCGTGAAATGATGCTTGTTTTTTTTTTTTTTTATCATATTTTCTTTGTAGTTTGAGATGCTGCAACTTTAGAATCCCCATCATGTAGTATCTATGTTCTCCAGACCTTGTTTAACTTTTCCTCTTAAAATCTCAGAATAAGTTCACAGAGTAACAAAACTGCTCCTATCCCCTTCAGTTACAACTCGTATCCATTAGGTCAAATGTTTTTCTCCTATCCTCGCAGGTAAATCCCCCCATGTGAAGCGTTTCATTTCATATCTAACCTTTTTTAGTTCTCCTTTCTCTGAAATGCATTGGTGAAAACATGAAGGGAGTCTTGTGATGTATTATTGAGTGGCAGTGATGCAACGTGAGCGAGCCTTGTCTGATGTGGTTTTACCCTGGAGATATCTCCACACTTCTCTATAAAGATGGTCTTTTGAGTCACTGCTGTTTTTATCACAGATGAGAAGAGGATATTATGTGTTTCAGTTATTATTATCTGACTAACTGCGTCCTTTGCTCTGATTTTGTTTGGTTTCATTTCCTTTTTTTCCCCAGAAATATTTATACAAATCTAAGGGACTATCAGTTGTCATATTAGATTTTTGTATAATCAGAGATGAGTTAACACTATTAAATATTTTAAATCACTAATAATTGTTGTTTTTCTCTTTAGTGGGCGGACAGAAGTGCAGTCTGTGCAGTATGGAAAGGAGAAGGGGATCAAGGACAGAGTTTTTGCCAGGTAGTAAAAACATTGTGTCCTTGGTGGTTAGTTGGAATATCTCCTCCTCCATTACGTTTCAACTCAACTCCACTGTACTCACCTTTGCTTTGTGGGCATATCCTGCTTTCTTAACGTCTCATCAGTCCACGATTCCACTCAGTAATCAGCATGACTCATGCAATCAGTGAGAAGGGCATCAGTGTGACTCCTCAACCTCTTAACGTGCCAAGACTTTAAACATCATGTTTTCCTCCTCCACTCTCATCTCTGATACTAGGAAAAAATGTTGCTTTTTTAAATATAGACCAATCAGCCTTGATCAGCCTTCTTCCTATTTAAATGGTAAATGGCCTATACTTATATAGCGCTTTATCAAGTCTAAGGACTTTATATATTTTCCACCACTGACACATTTCAGCACAGACACACCGAGTCTGAGAAGGAGTTTTCATATCTTCTCTCTGTTCCTGGAGGATTTTAAAGTTAATTTTTTTTTTTCTAAAAAAGGGCTAAAAATTGTGTTTAAATTAGGAACTTTCAACACATTTACATCCTTCATGTTTAATTAAACCACTCCAGTGTGTCACACTTTAATACGCCACATAAAACAGCTACCGCTATCCGATGAGAACTGTAGAGAATGCACCTTGGCAGCACTTCTTGGAGGTAGTTTTTTTTTTAGACTTTCTTTGGGATTTAGTTCTGGGCCCCATCTAGATCATTTCACAATTTAATTTCCCTCTTATTAAGCTGTTTTTCTGCTGATTGGGATATTTGCTTTGACTCACAAAGATTCTCAGATGCTTCATTTCAGGAACCCAAACTCACTGTTACATAATTATAGTCCGCCTAATAAAAACATACTTCCATTTTAAGAAAAGGGAAATGCTGCACTAATGCTGAGCTCTGGTAAGAAGCTTGTGACATTATCTCTGGTTCAGAGCCGGCTAAACACAGGAATGTGTCAGAGGAAGCCAATGGCCTGGATACGTCTGTGTGCTGATGCTTGAAGCCCTGACTCCAGTCAAAGTGCACAACTTGTGAGCCTTGTCCAAACTCTCGATGGGCTTTGGCTGTCCTTGTTGGCAGAGGACTTTCTTTAACCATGCCTTTTCCTTCTATGAAACCTTCCATTAATTTGATTAGATACAGCACGCTGTGAGCAGCCAGCTTCTATAGCACTGGCATTTGTGGTTTGCCTTTTTTTTGAGTCCCAGTGACAGTCTTGCCCATGTTTGACCCATAAACTTCATCGTCAGGTTGTTCCACACAACAAGAAGTTTGACTTCGGTTCCACTGTGATCTCAATTTAAGTTCAATATTCAAAAAAATAAGATTTTTTGTGTATACACAATAGAAATGTAGCAGTTTTTCTATAACCCAAGAAGCTGAATCCTCTGGGATGTTACTTTGACTGTTTGTTTGCTCTGGTTTTACAATCAGAGCAGCATCTGAAATGAATGATAGTCCTCTTCCTATGAAAGCTACTCTTATATTTTATTTGCTTGTTCAACCTGAACTTTGTAGATATCTGTAATATAGCTGTGTTTGCACAATTTTGTTGGCATTTTTTAAAGATGTCTCTTTTGTAAAAAGGAACTTGAATCCCAAAAAGGAGACCTGTATTGATAAAGGTTTAAAAAAATTGGAAACATTTGGAAGAACCAAACGTTTGTTTTCAGTTTGGTTGTAACCAGAATGTCTTGGTATGGATGCGATGGTTGTTTAATATTCATTCGATTGATAGTGTGGAGGGAGAAACTTTCACAGCTTGAGTTTACAGATTTGAAAACCATCCTGAAGTTAAAAGTAAAGGAATTAGTGTCCAGAATGTGTGGGGTCCTGGATGGAGGGAATGTTAACCTTGATAATCCTCTCTGCTCATCTGATGTCTTGTGGGAGTCTAAACCTGTCCTGTTGTTTGGATATCAAAACCAAATAATGAAGGACAAAGACAAGATAAACTCTGACTCAAAGCAAGAGGGCTTTTTTTCTCTCCCTTAGTATTTTTTTAACAGATTCTGGACAAAGCAGTGATGTTTTACAATTATTCCTGTCCTAAATGTTGGAGCTTTTTAGAGCTTAACTGATACAAATCTAACAACAGCTCCTTATCCGTCAAGGAGAGCTGCAGTCTGTAGACACAGATATTTTTCACGTTTAATAGTTTATTATTTTAGATTTATTTCGTCATTTTAAGATAAAAGACCCACCATGTGGTCCGGAATCTTCATAACCAGTTTTTGTGGGTTGGATGTCAGAATAATCATGGGTAAAGAGAATGAAGAGGTCTGGGGGATGCCTGTATTGACGATCAGAGGAGCAGATGTAAAGTTCCTTATCTTTACCACTGGTAGCTGGTGTTCTTGGATTAAAACGTTCCCCACGTTGCCTTCAATGGTGGTTATAACATCCTGCTGTGTAAACTGTACAACAATGCAGCTGATAGATGTTCTCAATAAAGAGGTGCCAAGCTTATTAGGATTTTACATGTAAAATGTGGCAGATTATTTTTTTTTGTTTGTGTTTAAAACAAAGACGTTTGTTTTTAGTTTGGTTGTAACCAGAATGTCTTTTTGGTCCGAGCAGGTCTCCCAGCAAGCCACTGGCTAGGAAGTTAATGGACGGGACTGACTGGGAGTCTGTAAGCAGGAACAGCCTATCAGACGAGAGACTGGAAACGCAAAGCCTGCCCACACGCTCCCCACCTGGAACTCCTAACCAGTGAGTTATAACAGAGCTGAATTCATGTTTTTTTTTTTAAGGTTTTAGTTATACGGTTCCTTGCAGAGGTATAGGCCTCAGAAGTCTTCCATCTTTTATATCAAAACCACAAACTTTAAAGGATTTGATCAGGATTATATGGGATTGACCTACAGAAAGGGATATGAAACTGTGAAGAAAACAGAAAATTGTTGATAATTTTCAGCTAATTAAAATATTAAAACTGTGGTGTGTATCTATACAGCTTTCATGAATAAATATTTTTTTAAACATACCTTAAAAAACCTGAATATATATTTACCAGCTTTTCCAATTCAGAAACTCTCGTTTTTGATTTTGATTTTTTGGAAAGTAGAGGATGTTCCCTCACAGTGAAAAAACGTCTGTGAACATCGGCCACAGATTTTTAATTGGATGTAGGTCTGGACTTTCACTAGACTATTTAAACACATTCCCATCTTTCTATCCAAACTGGGTGCAGCCCAGGAACTGTTAGCTGCCCTCTGAGCCATTGAATGACCACAGTTCTGACCCACAAACCCAGGCAGCCAAAGGGAATTATTGTTATCGTTTAGAGTAGCATTTCCACAGGCTAATAAAATCATTTTAAATGTAATAAATGTCAAGTACAACCCAAAAAAATTTCCCATTTATTTACCAGGTTTCTGCATTAATCGGAGTTCTGCATACACAACTTCACGCATCCAGCAACCTCCATTGGAAAATAGTCTTGGAGAAAACTTCTCAATCACATTTTTTAGACGTAAAATAATACTAGTCTGAAGAAGCAATCCCCCCAAAAGATAAGAAAACATTAATCCTGTCCTAAAATAACGGAAGAAAGATCGTTCTTATGTTTAGGATCTTTGATGATTTTACTGATCTCTTCTCGAAAAGTTATTTGATGATTTAGTTGAAATACATGAAATCTTGCTGTTACAATTAAATATTGATCGATAATAAAAAAAGGGTGGGTAAGAAATTTTATAAAACAAAAAATAAATATTTGAAGAAAGGTTTGACCTCAACTGACATAAACTTGCTCTGGCTAAATATTTAGGGTTGCATTGCTCCAGTGTTGGTTCTTTTTCAGTCTCCCCCTATGTTTCCTTTCCAATGATATCTCTGAAATTCAATGCATGAAATTAAAAGGAAAAACCCAAAATTAATAGAAGAACCTAAAAAAACTCCAATGTTAGATTTTGGACTCTTCAGTTTGTTTGTGATTAATCAGGTAAGACTCACTTCATGTTGAAAGTAAACACTGTATTTCTTTCCGTGTTCTTGTCAGGAACTCTCTGTTTGTACAAGATGGCACACGGCTACGCCCATCGTCGGTCGGCCACCTGGTTGATCACGTGATCCACGCCTCTCCCAGCCTACCTGTCTTCTCCTCCAATCACAAGTCGGCATCATCCACGCAGGCCAACAGCATCAGCCTGGACTCGACACCGTCAGTCCTAATCTTTTGCTCTTTCTGATAATAATTTCATTTGTCCCATTTTCTTTACCTCTTCTTTTCAAAACAGAGTTTCTAAATGGGGATAAATGTCAGCTTTGACTTGGCAAAGGATTAGTTAGATCATAGCTTCGCTGCTTCATAAATAAAACATCTCCGCAGAACAGCCAGCCTTTAATTTAGCAATTACATTTTCCTCATCAGTGTTAGTCAGTCTGTCTGTGCTGACGGGTTTATTTTTGCTCCTTTAAACGTCTCTCGGTGTCTGTGGCGTCTCCCAGCAGTTCACACCCTCTCTTGGTGTCATTTAGCTTGCCCCATTGGAAAGATGAGCCCTTTGAAAAACAGCCTGTAAAATGTGTTTATAGCAGCATAGCAGGGTGGAGGAGATTGAACAACAGGACTTAAGTAGATCTGGGCTTGCTGCACATCCCCAACAGCTCGCACACTACCAAATATCCGGTAAAGATTTTTAAGGTCCCAAATTGCTGTGGGTGTAAAAAATTAAAGAGCTGGGCCGATGCAGCGGTTTTCAGAGCGGTGAAGTCAAATCAAAGTGTCGCTGAAACTTTAGTGGGTCATAACTAAGAGCTAAAATATGACATAATCACCTGCTCTCTTCCCTGTAAAGCACCCTCGTTCAGCTCCTATTGCAGAAGCAGAATCTGACACTGAGTCTATTGAAAGAAAAGAAAAATGTATTTCAGTAAAATTATTCCAAGGGGTAGAGAACAGATCCCATATTAGGAAATAATTGTCCTAACACAGTGCAGGAATAATTGGCAATCTCCCAAGTTGATCTAATAAAACTTGACTTGATTTGAGTCTCTATAAAGATTTTATAAAGTTTTATGAAATAGACTATCTGAGGAAACCAACTCTGGTCTGCTTTGAAGGAAACTAAGCAGCTGTGTTATAAAATAACCTAGCGATTGAGTTTCAAAGCTGATTAAAAGAAAAGAGCTTTGCTGAGCACGGTGGAGGATCTGTAATGCTGTGGGCCTTATACATCGCAATTTCTTCTGGGAGGGGGGAACTGCTTCCAATCCCCCTGACCTAAAACTTCAAAATAACTATGAGCTAAACTTAAGGTGAGGTTGTCAAATGTTTTGCTAAAGGCTGTGTGAGATATTTCAGATGCACAGTAAAAACTGAACTATATTTTGAAGGATTTATTCACACATCCTTGGCAGAGGTAGAAATAATCTCGTAAATTTTCTGTCAAAGATTGTCTTGACCTAACATTAATTATTCCCTTAATGAAATCATGAAAAAGTCAAAAATCGATGGCAATTTGTCCAAATTCTTAGATTTTAACTGTAAATTTGGAGCAGATCAGACTGGTCTTAAGCCGTCTGTGTCGTGAATTTTCAGTCGGCATAATGGTGACAGATCAAAGCCAAGGAATTTGACTTAACTGTCATGTGCACAACACTTAAGAAATATTAGCCAAATTTTACAAACCCCTTTTCCTATCTGATTATTGATTCATTAATAATAAAAAAAAAAAGGTTAACAGATTGAACCGTTAGCAAAAATCATTAGCTGCAGTTCTGTAAATTTGAATACAGAAAGATAAAGGAAAGGCAGGTTGTGATGTTTAGTTTAGTAGCAGACAGCTCTGGCTGTAAGGGGTTTATCAGACTGATAGCTTGGGGAACGACGCTGTCTCTGTGTTAGCTCTGCTTTCCAAATAGCGCTTTTTTTAGACATCATGTAAAAGTTTAAACAGTTTCAGTCTGCAGTGTTTTTAGTGGCCCTTTTCCTGACCTGTACAAGTCTGTACAGATGCGTTTATGGTTTTTTAAATCCACCATTGCTTCTTTTCTATATTGGATGATTCTGTTGTCATGGTAGTAATCTCCAGAAATGGATTCAAAGTAATAAGTTGAACTTTTAGTGATATTCTAAGCCTTTGGTGGCTCTAATGTCTATCTTTCACCAGCTCCATTATGGCATCTGTGGAAAAGATTTGCTCCCAATCCACTTCCTTCATAATAACTATCTGATTGCTGCAGATTATATAGTAATGGTGCATTTTTTCCTCTCACAATTTATGTTCCTTATGGCAAAAACTAAAAATGCAACTGCAGCTTTACCATCCTGATTGATTTCCTGGTTCACCACTTTATTCAGGCCTATAATCCAAATCTTCCCAAAGGGTTTCTCTGATTTTCTCTGATGTGAGCTGACGGTTCTCCTGCAGTAGAAGCAGTTGCACACTCTGCAATTCACTCTGACATTAATGCAATATTCTGCATATGTTGCTGCGTTTGTAGTTGAATTTGGGGACATTTGATATTCGAAGTAATGTGCATAAATGTGTTTGTTGTATTATTTGAAGGATATCGTTGGGTTCGATTTTCTTCCCACAAACTTAGAGCTCATTTGGGTTTTTAATTGACTTGTTTATCAATTTCTCATATTGCTAAGTTCTAACCGCAGTCCTGTAAAAAGGATTTTTCACCCTTCCAAATTTTTCCTGTTTTTGCTTTTTCTCACATTTTTCTTTTTCAGATTAATCATCTTTTATATCATAGACTTAGACTGAACTTTATTTATCCCTTGGGATTACTCCTTCAGGTAAATTCTGGTTCCACTAGCTTATATAGAGTACACAGAGTTAAAGCAAGATGCCATTTAAAAATACTACAGACAATATAAAAAGAGCGTATATCATACAAAAGAGCATGAAAAAAAGTTGTAATGTCCTGAAATATATTTCCTGTAGATTTAAAAATATCTGCACAGTAGAGCCAGTCGAGCTCTAAGGAAAGACTAGATAATAGTTGACTTGGATTATTACACTTGTACTGTAGAGATGTACTGACCTAATACGAATAAGTAAAAAATTACACGGACTTCACAGTAGTTGGCATGTGTACGGAAGAGGATTAGGGCCACTGAAAAAAAAAAAAGTTAACTGATTTTTTTAATTTTATTTCAGTTTAATATGGGAAAAAAAAGTCAGAATTCTGACTTTAATTTCAGAATTCTGACTTTAATTCTGAGAAAAAAGTCAGAATTGCGACTTTTTTTCCCATGTTAAACTGAAATAAAATTTAAAAATCAGTTTTTTTTTTCAGTGGCCCTAATCCTCTTCCGTACATGTGTTATTGCACAGTGAGAGAGAAAAATATTGCACATGAGTGACATAGATCACTGCTAGTCTTGCGGAATCCAGAAACCCCTGCAGTAGAAGCTGTCTTTCAACAGGGAAGTAGGCAGTAAGATCTATAAAACCAGCACACCATCCCAAGATCTAAACAAAGCCTCAAAGTTAATGGTTCAACAGTCAGAGGAAACTGGGAAAAAATGGGATGAATACTGTGACCCTAAAATCTGTGGTACTCATAATGATTGGCTGTTGTGGCCATCCATCCATTTCTGTCACACTCTATTGTGTTTGCGAGGGGTGCTGGTGCCTATCTCCAGCTGTCTACAGACGAGATGCAGGGTACACCCTGGTCAGGTTGCCAGTCCATCGCAGGGCAACATAGACCGACAGGACAAAGAACCATTCAGGCACACACTCACACTTAGAGAATTTGGAGAAGCCAGTTAACCTAAAAGTCATGTTTTTGGACTGTGGGAGGAAGCCGGAGTACCCAGAGAGAACCCACATATGCTCGGGGAGAACATGCAAACTCCATGCAGAAAGACCCCGCGCCGAGAATCGAAATCCCGGAACCTTCCTGCTGCAAGGCAGCACTGCTACCCACTGTGCCACTGAGCAGCCCCATTGAGTCCAATGACGTGAAAATTGCCCGATTTACGAGTACTGCTTCTTACCTGGCGCAAATCTACTGTTTATATAACTGGTGTCCTGAAGAAGGTAAATTTAAACGTGTCTATTCTTCAAGAGCATTATTTGTGAATGTGGGCCTATGGTTTATGTGGTGAGCTGTCAAAGCCTTACTGTTACATAAGAAAGCAAAAAGTAACATTTTATTTGAAAAGATTTGAAGTGCATGTTGTCCAGTCATGAATGTTGTCACGAATGGAAATTTAACTCTCCTGATTGAAAATGTCGGGCCTTAAAACTTAAGCTAGTCCATTCAGGACGGTTGGAGAAAAAATCAGGACAAAAAAAATCAGGACAAATTCTGGTGTTAGTTTGTAAGGCGAGGATGGTTCAACCCTTTATCACATCTAAAGGGGTAATAACTGCCTTGAAAAGCTTATTCCCCACAATAAATGGGATCAACTTTAAAATAACTGTCTGATAGTCCTCACATAAACAGGTTTGATCCGAACAGTTAAGCATAAATAAGCAGAACAGAAGAATTCACTGAGATATAAATATTTTGTAGTATTTTACGAGTTGTTTCACAAAGCAGATGTGAGCTATAAAGATGTTTGCTGATCCATTACAAGCCTCTGCCTCATGTCGAAGTGATGAGAGCAAAGGAGGTGGATGTGCCATCTTGGCTCCGTCCCGCTAAGCACCGTCTCAGTCTGACCTGGTTTTGACCCGTAGTAAATGTCAACCCGTGTGTGTCTGTTTAAGGCACAAAGTGGCACCAGTTGCAGCAGCCAAAACAAACGAGATGCTCTTTGACTGATGCCCCCTTCCCCCAAGGAATGCCGCTTCGTAGCCCTTTTCTCCGACACAGAAACACACACTGGCTGAATCGACAGGCTTTTACCCACAAAGAAGCGAGGCTTGACATTTCTGAAAGCTTTAACTGACTGACCATGTTGTCCCCCCCTCCCTGCGCGCACTAACAGTCTTTTACTGTCGGCTTGATGGAGATGGAGCGTGAGGGATGGTTGTTTTCCTTCTCTTTGCTGCCTTTTTATTGAGGTTAATGCCCTGGGACAAACCGTTCTATTACCCCTTTCTGTGTCTTATTTCCTCTAATACTTATCTATATTTTTGTACTTATCCCCTAAAACAAGTTTTCAGCTTTTTATATACTGTAAATTTGACAGACTCTACCATCATGCAGAAGAAAATTCAGGTTTCCATCGATCAATGTTCATTTGCTGACCTTACTCTTTATTTCCTCTGTTGCTCTGTCTTTCAGTGGAATCTAACTTTGTTTTGTTTTTCATTTTTTGTCTTCTTCATCAGGTCTCCTGATGGGATGGATGGCCAACCTCCAGCTCTGCCCCCGAAGCAGCTGAGCAGGAAAACTCTGAGCCAGATCATCCAGGCTCACTCCCAGCAGAGCCTCCTGGACAACCACCTCAACGAGATGTACGACGTTCCTGTGAACGCCGACAAAACCACGGTCAGTGAGCCCAGGCAACGTGTCTCTATAAGGAGGATGCTAATCACTTTAGCTTTTCTTTTAAGTATCATGATCTCACAGATAAGAAACAGAAAAAAATATATATCTTTTAAGAAAAGCAATCTAAAAAAAATTAATGGTTTAAAAAAAAAAGCCCTAATTTATAGCCCCCTCAGTGAGCCTCAGTGATGATCTCCTGTTTAATCAGAGTTCTGTATGGAAGAGGAACAGTCCCATAGAATTACAGATTCCCTCTTTGGCTAAAAGTGGAACAGGGGATTTTTTCACATCTCCATCCTTTGTCTTCCACCAGAATCACGCAGACATTTTCCTGGAGGAAAAGCTCAATCTTAGTCTAATATGAACAAAGCAAACAGTTTGAGTTAAGTCACAGTTTATCTAGTTTACAGCTTTTCGAACTGTACATGTTGGCAAGCTTAGCTGAGCACCTACTTTTTGAAGCCATTTCATGAATTTTATAGATTAGAACACATCAGACTTTCCTGAAAGGGATGGTCTCTAGTATTTCCCAATTTAAATAGTCGGTAACGGATAATGATTTCTGTGTCATATTTAGACCATAAAAACTGGACACTGTTGTTGATTCTAAGTTAAAGTTTACCAACATTTTGATCAACTTGTATGACTAAAAATGGGCTAAAACAATTTATTGGGTTGATTCTGATTAATCAATGCTTTAATTGATAGTTATCTAATTTAACAACTGAGTAATGGACCTTATGCACAACTCAACTATTTCCTGAACTGAAGGAAGCTGTTGTGTTTCCTGTCTTTCATTACTGGCTGAACTGATTAATCCAGGTGTGCCTCACCATGGTTACTGAGGTTAGGCACACCTGGATTAATCTGTTCATCCAGTAGAAAAAGACAGGAAAAAAAAGAGCTTCCTCCATTTCCAAAAATAGTGGAGTTGCTCATAGAGCCCATTGCTAAGTGAAGTTTACAAACCTAAGAAATACAATTTGTTTTAATCCACTCTGAACAGTAATTAATCCAAACTTGTACTAAACATATGTACAGTTTGCATTTAAGATGATTTTTTTTTCTTTTTAGTTTATTGAATATAAGTGTAAGAGGCAACTTTTTACTTCTTTATGAATATTTTACCAATCGGCCGGGCCGTTCTTATTCTATGGGCTGACTAATAGGCTCAGAGAAAAACAGCTTTTTTGAATGAAAAGTTTCTAATGATCAAATATGTTTTATCAAAGATTCGTCTGCATTTTATGGTAGATGTTTGTCCCAGATTAACTGCATAAAAAACAACCTAAGCCTTCTAAAATTCTTGTAGCAGAAATTAGTTTTAAACAGTCATACATCATAGTGGTATATTAGCTTCAAAGAGTTTTAATGATGTTTAATAATGTTTGTTAAAGAATAAAAGAAAAATGTTTTCTGCTATAAAGCGGTCATTCCACATGGATTTGCAGCTTTATATGACTTTTTGCCCCCTGGTGGTCAACTCACTCCCGTCTTCAATATTTGATGTTTCAGTTTAAAACACATTTGTCAGAAACAAATGTTATGATGCAGATCTGTGGGAGGAGAACAGCTGGATACAAATGTGACTCGATTGTGTTTTTAATGGCTTCTTTCAGCTTAACGGCGTCGTTCCGCATGATAATCTGGTTCTCATCAAGATGAGGCCGGATGAACACGGACGCTTTGGCTTCAATGTGAAGGTGAGCTTTAAATTCAGCTGTTCATTGGTTCATGCCTCAGTCTGAACCCCTTAAAAAACAAATCTGTGCTAGTTATTAGATTTGAACATAAGTTTTTATCTCCAGGGTGGAGCTGACCAGAAGATGCCTATCATTGTCTCTAGAGTGGCTCCGGGTACCTCAGTAAGTTAAAGAACGAGCCTCTCAAACACCTGCTGCTTTTCAGATCAATAAAATCTCCCTTTCATCCCCGTCTGCCTCTTCAGGCCGACCTCTGCGTGCCTCGCCTTAACGAAGGCGACCAGGTGGTCCTTATAAATGGGCGGGACATCTCTGACCACACTCATGACCAGGTGGTAATGTTCATCAAAGCCAGCTGTGAAAGCCACTCTGGAGAGCTGATCCTATTGGTCAGGCCGAACGGTAAGTTCTTAAGATGAAACATAATCTGATAATAAATACAAACCTCATAACATTGAAAACATCAAGCAGGGGGAAAAATGGACAGAGCTATTAAACCAGCATTTTAAGAAATTAACCCAAAGCATAACCTCAATTATTTTACAAAGACAACAAACCAAATGTTTTGGAGTGATAATGAAGCTCTGATCTCAAACCCAGAGAAAATGTAGCCTCAGCACTGGAAAAACGAGCTAGAAATAAGTAAAAATGTCTTAAATTAAGTGTATTTACCCTTAATTTGAGTTGGTAAATTAGATGATTTGCCAATGGAATGAGTATTTTTACGCTTCAAATAAGATATTTCTCTAAAATGCACTTGAATTAATTCTTATTTTAAGTGTAAATTGTCTTATCCAATTGGCAAAATATCTCTTACCTTCTCAGTTTAAGAACAAATGCACTTAGATTTAAATTTTTTTCCAGTGAGGTCTCAATCTAAAGGAAATAGTTGTGTGATTTGTTTTCTCCTTGTCTTTCAGCAATTTATGATGTAGTGGAAGAGAAGGTAGACTCTGAGCCAGAGTTTCAGTACATCCCAGAGAAATCCCTGCAGGATCCCACCCAGCTTGACCAGCATGCCTTGAAGGACTCCATGATGGCTTTAAAGGAAGGCCTGAGCAGTGGAGCCATACTGGCTCAGTTTGATGTGAGGAGGAAATTCACTTCGTCTGACTGAATGCATTAATCGGACAGGAAAAGGTTTATCTTCCTGATGATCTCCATCTTTGGTCCCACAGCAACTGTACAGGAAGAGGCCGGGGATGACCATGCTGTGTGCCAAATTACCTCAGAACGTTTCCAAAAATCGCTACAGAGACATCTCCCCATGTACGTGACCTCGCGTCTTCATGTTTCCTCTATTCACACTCTCTCCTGCTTCCTTTCATCGTGAAATCTAAATCTCCCTGTTCCCTGTTGGTTTTCTTGCGCTCCGCTAACAGATGATGCCACACGGGTCGTACTGAGAAGCGCGGACGACTACATCAATGCAAATTACATCAATGTGAGTTTGTTTCTCCTTAATCAGAAGCATGACCTTCCTTATCTTTTAAAGCTTCAGTGTTTCTTACCTGTGATGAAGATAAAAAAGTGATGACATTATCTGATATATGACACGTCCCTCTGTGCAGATGGAGATTCCTGCATCCAGCCTGATAAACCGCTACATCGCATGCCAGGGCCCACTGCCCAACACCTGCCCTGACTTCTGGCGCATGACCTGGGAGCAGGGCTCATCTATGGTGGTCATGCTGACCACACAGGTGGAGAGAGGGCGGGTAAGTTATATCCCCAGGCATAGGGGTGTAATAATAGTTTTGTATCGATGCATCAATCCAACAGCCGACGATCCGATGCATCGACACGTCCGCAAGATTATCGATTCATGGCTGTTTTTTTTCCTCCGGTCTATTTTTATCAATTTTCTCCTGGACATAATTCTGACTCCTTTGCTGCGGTGGCACTAAACCCTCCTACCTCGCTTCCTTTAGCCACTACCCTCTTTCCGCATGCACACACACTCACACACTTGCGTAAACACAGAGGCATTATTATTTTTCAGTGAATGAGGTTTTCATAGGCCTAGGTGGAGTACAACTTTGCTACTTCTGTTATTTGCTGTTGTTTCTCAAATAAAATGCATAACGATATTACAGCTTTCATTGATTTATTTCAAACTTGAAACTTTGTTTAGCCTGTAAGGTCAAAAAAGAAAATTAACCAATTAATCAAATGTAGAAATATGTCAGTGACTTGTTTTTGTTCATTTAGACTGTTAAAACAGATTAAAAAGGACAATGAATCCTGGAAATTTGATGTGAAAATCATGTGAATCAGACATTTAACGTCCCTGATTCTCTTTATTCATTCATTCATTCATTCATTCATTCATTCATCCATTCATTCATTCAGTATTAAACAGAGCAGCTTGTGAAAGAAAGAAACCAGCATTACATAACAACAAAGAAAGCTCCAGAAGCAGATCCTTGCAAGCTCTTAGAGAGAGATCTGATCTGCATGATCCTCTGTTTTTGCAGGTGAAGTGTCATCAGTACTGGCCCAACCCAGACAGCAGCACCTCCTACGGAGACTTCAAAGTCACGTGCCACAACGAAGAGGGCAACTCTGCCTTCCTGGTGCGAGAGATGACGCTCACTCACACACAGGTAATCACACAGACACACGCGCTGATTAAACCACGTAGGGAAGGAGTCGAGAAGGCTCCAGATACTCTCACCCTGCTGAAGACCCCGAAGAGGTGTGTTGCCATAGTGACCAGTGTGGGCTGTTCTTTTTCTGGATCCCCACGCCGAGGCGCCGGCTTCATGCTGTGGGTTCTGGTTGCCATGACAACACAACCATCCCATTCAGTCACAATGCAGATACAGAGAAAAGATGATCTAATGAGGAGAGTGAGGAGTAGGAGGAATATTTACTTATTTTTGCTGTTTTTATGGAATATGTTAATGAAAAGTTGGCTTTGTTGGCATGTTTAGGCGCTTCGAGCTTCAATGATGTGGTCCTAAACTTTAAACTCAAACTCTTCTCCATATAAGACAAACATAAAAAAAGGATTGCTGTTATATATATGAAGTCATTTATCATTTGTTAAATGTTCTTTTTTTTCTCAGAGTGAGCAGCAGAGAGAACTTACTCAGCTTCAGTACCTGGCTTGGCCCGACCACGGCGTTCCTGATGACTCCACTGATTTCCTGGACTTTGTAGCTCTGGTACGAAGCAAACGGGCTGGACAGGACCAGCCGATGGTGGTACACTGCAGGTACGGTTGTTTTATTTTAAACATACAAGTAGTTTTTTCTTCTGTATCTAAAAATGAAGTAACCCCCTATTGATGGCATTGAGAGCCACTTTTAAAACACCCTTTCTTCCTGTGATCAACATGTTCTTAATCAACTCAAAGGTCCGGACACGGGATGGGGAATGAAGTTTACTCACAATATTCTCACTCTGATGCATTTAAGGAGCATAACAACAGGAAAGGGATAAATTCATAACTACTAAAAACCGTGGGTCACATAGACACGTCAGCTGCAACAGCTCCTAAATGAGCAATAATTAAAAAGGAATCCTAATGTTTTAAATAAAAACAATAAATAAAACATAAAGCCCCCCTCTTTTTCTTTGCAAAGTCAAGAGAGAAAAGGAGCTAAAAAGTAGTGCCACAGTGCAAATACTTTTAAAGGATGCAGTGGCATCTTGGACATTGTTGAGACCCTGGGAAGTCTCATATGATGCTCAGGAAGTAAACACAGGCTTCTTTTCAAACCGCAGTAATTCAGCTCCATACTTTTAAGTTTGGCTGAAGTCATTGTTGAAGCGGACGATTGTTTATAGGGAATGTAACTTCCAGGTGACATCAGTTCATGACTCAAAACAGAACAGATACAAGTTGAAAGCCACATCACTTCCATACACTTCCACAATCCTCGCTGCATGAGCTTAAAGCTGGCCTAGATGCTTTTCTCAGTGGACAGCCATGGTTTGTAAACCTGAAGAGGCTGCGGGGCAAAAATAAGTATGTTGATTTTAAGGGCAATTCTATGTAGAGCATCTAAAAGCAACATAGCAGCATGACTTAGGTTTGCTTTGTTTTATCTGACTTCTTAACCATTGTCCTATTGAAATAATTACAGCACCACATTGTTTCTACATTATACATTCTGTTAGGAGGAAACCAAACAGCATATCAGCAAACACCTCAATTTAGAGTTGTGGTGATTTGGGCGCTCATTGGTCTGATAGTTTAAGTTTTGCTGTTTCTTATTAACAGTTGAAGTCAGACTCAGAGTTCACTGCAGCGTGAAAGATTGAGAAAATCACTTAGCAACTATAGCTTGCCTTACCTTATGCTAGCTTATCTTTGTACACAGTTTTTGTTTTTCACCCACTGCTGTTTCATTCTAAGTTTAGCTTTGTTTTAAGAAGAATTTTTAAATGTTTTTCTCTATTGTATCTTAAGTAAATGAAGAGAACATTAAATGTGTTTATTTTCTTTACATCCTGTTTTTGTTTTGTTTTGTTTCAGCGCTGGCATTGGTCGAACAGGGGTTCTTATCACCATGGAGACTGCGCTGTGTCTCATGGAGTGCGGTCAGCCTGTGCATCCTCTAGATATTGTCAGAACCATGAGAGATCAGAGGGCAATGATGATACAAACGCCTGTAAGTAGACTAGTTAGCGGCTTTCAGTCCTTCCTTGTTTCCTACTCGTATGTCCTTCGGCCTACCTTATATCTTACCTTCCTCCAATCTGTGTTCTTTCTTTCAATGCATCATAGAACCATTATTTTCTGTCTTGTCTTTCATTTCTTTCTCTCCTTCTATGTTCCCTTCCGTTAGTCCTTCCCCCATTTTTTGTGTTCCTTTTTCTTTAATCCTTCATCATCACCAGCCGCTCTTCCTTCCTTTTTTGTGTCCTTCCCTCTATATTTCGTCCATCTGTCCCTTCTCTTCAAAAGTGCCAACCTGCACCATATGTCAACCCTGCTTCCTGTTAAAGTTCATAGGAATTTTAATTAAATCTTTGTTTTTTAAATGAACCTTAATTTATTTTAGAAATCCTGGAAAGGTTACAATAAAAGCATGTAGGAACCCTGGAGTCAGATTAACACTCAAAATGTTCTCATCTGTTTTTTCTTTTACCCTATCAGAGCCAGTATCGCTTTGTGTGCGAGGCCATCTTGAAAGTGTACGAGGAAGGTCTGTTTAAGCCTCAAGCACCAGCCGTCTACCAGCATAAGGAAAAGCCTAGGGAGGAAAAGGCTGAGGAGGAGGAGGAGAAGAAGAAGAAAGAGGACAGAGAAGAGACTGAGAAAGTAGAGGACGAGGCAGAGGCGGCTGTGGTAGAGCTGCTGGAGGGAGGCCTGGACGAAGAGGACGAGGATGACGATGAGGAAGTGGAGGTGCTGGACGTGGGGGAAGTGACGGAAGAGGAGGAGGAGGAGGAGCCGAGCGTCGCCAGCTGCACCAGCGTGACAAGCGAGACCAGCGTGAATCCAGATCCGGATCCTGTTCCTGCTGACCCTTGACCTAAGCGTGGAGGTCACCAGGACGAGGAGAAAACAGAAGCACTGTTGCACTTTATGCTGACAAAAATGGAAAAAAATTGACAAACAGAAATGAAAATGATGAACAAAAACGAGAATTAAAGAAATCCAGCTGTGTTGAATAGGTACAGTGATGCCGTGTTTTTATAATCAGGGTTAGAACAGGTGTAAAAAACAGTAAACAGTACGAAAAAATCAAGTACGGATTGGGAAATCGCTGTAGTGCCATAAGTCTAAAGGGGAAGGGCTGCCCAGTGGATGAAAAGCTCCCCAACCGTTTTCTTTCTCTTTTTTTTCTTACCCAAAGGGTTGCCCTGTCCCCTTCTGAGCAAGTTTGCCAGGTGGACATGCCTTTTTCTAAGTCCTTTTATCTGATAAAGAGAGAAATCTTATCTTTTGTTCCTCAGAGTATTTATTGTGTTTTTAGTTTGTGTCCAACCCTGTCCACTGAACAAAAAAGCTCTATGTTCTGTTTGTTTGTATGAGTGTAGGGCTTGATGCTCTCCTGATTCAATCTTAGCTAGTGATATAGTGTTACTCCTGCTCTGTTCTGTTTTATTTTTTGGCTTTTTGTGTGGCGGGGGGGACGCAGTGATTTAATTTATTGTATGTGGTTTGATCTTTCTCCGCTTTCTTGTCTACGTTTCTGACAGCATAGACTCACAGGTGGACAGCTGAAAGCACTTTCTGGTTTCTTTTCCTCCACGCAGTGGTGAGCTAGGTACTTACTCGCTCTCCATGCTGTGGTTTTCGTAGCTTGGACACACACATACACACATACTCATAGTTTGTAATCCTCAGGGCCTTTGTTTACTGGAGATCTCTGTTTCACTTTTGCAAATATTCCCAGCAGTATTCTGTCATCCAATACAACTTAACAGGCTTAGACAAACAGAAAAACAGTTTCCACAACTAAAATCTAAACTCAACACCTGGGATCCCGTCTGTTTGGTGTTCCTGCTGAAGTGTCCTTGAGCCAGACACGAACAGTAAAGCCCTGTCTCATTCCAGTAGACATCTTCTATCTGATCAGAATGAGTTTACATCTCGGATATTTCCATATATTTCATGCTTTTGTTTGTTTGTTTCAGGGTCGGTTGAAGAGCTGCTACGAGTTTTATGCAATCAGTATTTGCTGTTTTTTCTGTTGTGCTTCGACAGAAGGTGTTATAATTAGCTGATTTAAGTCTTTAAAAAGCTCCTGATGTGAAAAGTCTGATCTGTGTTGATCTGTGTCCTCCCTCATAAAAACAAGCAAAAAAAACAACAAAAACATCTTTTTTTTATTATTATTATTAGCTTTATCCCTCATACAGCCACAAACTTCAGTGTGTTTTGTTATATTTGATCAGATTAGACCAAAACAAATGTGATTGTAAAGCTGAAGGTAAAGGATGCATGGTTTTTTTTCACCGGGATATAGATTGGTGAAATGGGGCTTTTATTTTCAGAGCAAATACCATCTGCTTCCTTTGCAGTTACTGCAGCAAGTATTCTGGGTGTACGCCTCCAACTATTTGCCCATTTTCTTCTTTTTGAAACAACTGAAGCTCAGAGCGGAGGGGAGAGTCTATGATGATCATTTGTTAAGTTCTGACTCTGGTTCTGAATTTGGATTCACCTCCAGACTTTGACTGGACCATTGTTGAGCATTAATGGGCTTTGAGAAGAAGCTCCATTTGTGGAACAGATTCTATGTTTTTAAAAGTTTTTTCTTTGTGTGAAGGTATTTAACTCCATCCGTCTCCACATCAGCTTTGTCCAGCCCCTTTTTTTTCTCTGCTTTGAACTAAACATGCCCCTCAGCATAATGCTGCTACTGCCATGTTTCACTATGAGAATGTTGTTTCTAGAAATTAGGTTTTATTTCACATTCAGAAAATGTTCAAATTTTGCAGACAGGGCGTCTGATGACATTTCTTCAATAGGCACCTCCTTGATTTTATTTTCAGATAGTTCTCTAGGTTTTAAAACCATGCACCGTTTGTATTGTTCTATCCTATCAAATACCAAATGCACTGAGTTTGGTGGTTATGAATTGGACAGAAAAGAAAAAAATTAGAACGTAGGAATGTTTTAAGCTAGGTACTGTACGTCATTTTCCCCTCTTTCCTTCTCTATTCTGATGTATGCATGAAGTTTTAACTGCATCCAAATCCATTTCAGTTGATAAAATATTTACTTTGTTTAATCTTCCTTTTCAGAGTTGAATCATAATTCTGGGGATGAACAAAGAGCTGCCATCCTCTTCCAGTTTTATTTATTTCTTAAGCTTTTCTCTAGTGTGTCACTCTCCCTCAGTCATCTTCATAGCCCACACAGCATCCATTCTCCTGTTTTTTTTCCCACCCTGATGCCTCTCTTTTTGTTTCATTGTACACAGATCCCACTCTCTCTGCTTGGCCTCAAGGCAAAAGACGCATCTGAGCAGAGTTTGGTGGGTCCAGAAGCACAGCTCAGTTTTAAACCAGGCAATCGATGACTTGCTGAGAAACTGGTTTTAACTGTTTCTGTTTCTGTTGATGTGTGTGTATGTGTGTGAGCTTAAAGCTGGCAAATCAGCGTGAAAACAAACTGAACAAAAGCGGGAAAACCTCTATAGATTGATGGGAGTCGTAAGTTTATAACGTAAGTGGTAGCTGAAGGTACTGATTGATCCAAGTCTGGGAGAGACGACATGTGGGGAGGTGTTTACGTTTGTTGTATTTTTGTAGAAAAAAAAAAAAAAAAAAAAACTAATATCAGTTTTAATTGGTTAGTGGAAGGGGACAGCACTTTGTAGAGAGGCTGGGCGGGAAGGTAGTGCTACTGAACATAAAAAGCAAATCTAAGAGACGTAAAGCATTTTAAATAAGTACTTTTATTCTTAATTTATCTTTGTTTTACTTTGGAAATGACACCTGTAAAGAACAAAGAAGAGAACTCCTAATGACACAGTGCCACTTGTTCATTTTGTGTAAATATTACTAGACGATGTAAATACAATGTTGTATATGAAAAAAAAACAACTTTAAAATAAAAGGGAAAATCATTTGTGAGCAGAAAAATTGTTTTATTTTTATTTGGATGATGCCAGATGTGACACAAATACTGTGTAACTCAAAGGTTTTTATTTGTTTATTTGATGTTCAACGAGCCACAAAGTGTTTTACCGTATTATGCCATTGGTTTATTTCCTATTTGTGTCCTAAAAAAAAAAAAAAAAGAAGCGTTTGTCCTCAGTTGCTGGTTTCTTATTGGTACCATGGTTTTAAAGTGCTTTGGACATGTCTATAAGCTTGGTTCTGAACAATTAAAGCTTGTCTGTCAAAGCATGAAGATTTGGCTTCAGATCACATTGCTTTTCCACACTGTAAAAGTGAGGTTAGGCAACACAAATTAGCTCATAGCAAGATTGATTCACAACTGAAGACTTCCAATAAAGTGAACCTCATTGAATAAAAGCAAATAGCTGTGGCTAGAAAAAAACACTTTAGTGCGAAGAATCACAAACTGCACCATCTTTTATTCAACCACATTCTCTAAACAGTAATATTGATTTACTTCTTATATCCACTGTTAACTAGTCGCACTACTGTTCTACATGCTGATGAAGATTCTCAGTCATCCAGGTCATAGTCATTCCGTAAAAGTAAAAAAAAAAACAATCCACTGGACATGGTTTCCAAGGTTTGAAGATGTTTCGCTTCCCCTCCAGGAAGCTTCCTCCAAGCGAAACGTCTTCAAACCTTGGAAACCAAGTCCAGTGGATTGTTTTTTTAAACTGTTACGGAACGGTTCTACATGGTTTAGATCTGGAGGCAGAGAATGCCACGAAAGAAGGTTGATTTTGTCTAATTGTGTTGATTCTGTTAATTTGGGCACAATGCATGCTAATGAGCTTCTAAAGGTGAAACACCATCAGTACTGGATGTCCTCCACCATGCTTTAAAGTTGACATTAGGGGCTTTCAAACAAAACAACAACGGGAAAGTTAGTAGCTAAAAACTGGATCATACTTTGGGGAAAAAAAATACAAGTTCAATTTAGTTTATATAGCGCCAATTCACATCCATTCATTTTCCTTTATGCTTATTCCTGCTGGGATCGCGAGGGGTGCTGGTGGGTCTCCAGCTGTCAATGGGTGAAACAGTTTCAGTCCATCACAGGGCAACACAGAGACAAACAACCATTCACACCTAAGGAGAATTTAGAGAAGCCAATTAACCATGTTTTGGATTGGGAGGAAGCCGAAGTACCCTCTTGCTGCAAGCCAGCAGCGCTACACACTACACTTCATTTCAAGGCACTTTAAAGAGACAATTCAATCAGATCCTGCAGTCAGATTGGTTAGGAAAACCAATTTATTGCATTTTGTCATTGACTTACAAGACATTCTCCACTTGAAGGAGCTTGCGTTGATGATTTTCGATTGCATTTTGACTCCTCAGCAATCCCTCACACTAAGCATGCATGTAGCAAAAGTAGGGTGGGAAAAACTTTTTTTTAACAGGAAGAAAGTTAACCAGCTCCACAGGCGGCCTGGTCCAGAAAACACACAGCCATCCAGACGAGCTCTGAGCCTGCTCCCATGTCAAGGGATGAAAAAGAGCACATACCGTTAGTCACAGTCAGGGAAACAGGACTACACTGAAAAACAGGCTAAGCTCTAACATCTATGAACAGAGATTTTGATGGCAGCAGCACAGCTGATATTTCCCTCCAGGATGGAGTCACAGCCAAACAGGAAAAGACCAGATGAAGCTACTATGAAGTGAAAAAAAGCAGAAAGAGGATAGAGTTGTGAGTGAATCTTGCAAAATACTGCAGAGTAGGAGAATAGAGATAGAACGAAGCAGAATTAGGATAAGTGGTCCCGATGTGATCCAGCAGCCTAAACATATAGTAGCAAAAATACAGAAAATAGCTCAGGATAACTGTTTTGGATGAGGTATAAGAAAGGTAGAGCCAAGGAAGAATGTCTGTCCAGACTGAAACTCTGACCCACCTGATCGGGCTGTCAACACTCTTACCTAGACCCACCTCTCTATTAACCCAGTTTCTAAAAAAAAAAAATATATATATATGTTTTTAACTATAAGCTTTATCAAAAAATAATGTTTTTAAGCCAAGCCTTAAAAGTAGACAGGGTGTCTGCCACACTGCCTGATAACTAAAATACATACCTCTCATTCTACTTGCAGAAATTCTAGGAACCACTAGTAAACCTGCAGATTGAGAGCAAAGGACTCTGGAACATAAAGAACAATCAGAGGTTTGATATAAGATAAAGCATTTAAGGCTTTATATGCGAAAAGGAGCATTTTAAATTCTATACTGGATTTAATAGGAAGCCAATGAAGGGAAGATAGTAGAAAAATCATCTCTGTTTTTAATTTTCATTAGAATTTTGGCTGCAGCATTTTGGATCAGTTGAAGGCTTTTAACTACAGTTTGTTGACTTCCTGATAGTAAAGAATTACAATAGTCCAGCCTTGAAGTAACAAATGCATTGACTAGTTTCTCAGCTTCACCCCATGACAGGATATTTCTATTTTTTGCAATATTCCGCAGATCAAAAAAGGAATTTCTAGAGGCATCTTTGATATAGGATTTAAATGACAGGTCCTGATAAAAAATAACACCAAGATTTTTAACTTTATTATCTGAGATCAATTTAATCCCATCCAAATGAAGTGACTGACTAATCAACCTCTTTTTTCAGAGACTCGGATACAAAGACAATGACTTGTTTTATCTGCACTACTCTGTAACATTTCTTTAGACATATAGAGCCCCTTTTTTCTTTCCGGTCTCCTTAACATTTTGCTTTATAGTGTGCAGCTCTGCATCAAACCAGGCAGCCAGCTTTCTATTTTTAAGTTCCTCTTTTTCAAAGGGTCCGCGTTGGCTAAGGCAGTACACAGGGAACTAGTAACCCCATCAACATGTCAATTTGTGAAGTGAATAAATGAAATGTTTCCCTCCATTGTTCAGTGATATATAGGAGATAAAAAGTGGAACCGATTCTTTAAAATATATATGTGCATTATCTGATAATGATCTGCTAAAGTGAAACCTTCTTTTGGAGGAGAACTCTGTTAAAGTCATTTTGAATGTTACTAAAAAAAAGTGGTCAGACTGTACATGGTTGTGAGGAAATACAGTTATTCTTTCACATTCTAATCTATGCCATATGTCAGCACAAGGTCCAAAGTATGAAGATGAGAATGTGTTGGACTATTCACATTTTAAACAAATCCAATCGAGTCGAAATGATATTAAAGACTGCATTTAATTTAATACTTTTTTGACTTTGGAAAGCTTAAAGTATTTATATAAATTCATGTTGCAGTTTCTTAGATTTTTTTATGTAAACCTGTTAAAAATTATATATTAGTTTTCTTCTCTTAATATTTGTATGGCCTGCTATTTTGTTCTCGTATGTGACATCAGAATCCCCCTAAAATACATTTAAGGACCAAAGCAACTGATCATTTACTTATACTAGAAAATCATTTATACCAAACTATTATCTGGGTACACATCCAAATAAAAACAGTTGCATTTGCACATGAGTTTCAAAATCTTTTGTTAGAAGCAATGCTTTGATTTAAATGTACATACTTTGGACCTGAACTTTTATGAGAAATGGTCCAGAGGGCATATGGCTGAAAGGTTTTTTCATCAGTTGACCAGTAGGGGGTGCTACAGCCACACGAACGCCAAGTAGATATTATCTGACTAAAATACTACACACAGTAGTAAAAAATTCTCAGACTGCCAATTTAAAGTGTAATAAACCATTACTTTATTATTTGGAAAGTATTCTAATGATAGTACTATGCTTAGTACTCTTGGCTCGGTTCAGTCATGTAGTGCTAAGGCATAACAATCGTCATTTCGTACTAAGGAAAGCCTAGTGATTCAGATATTTGTATTTATGTATATATTTTTATTACTTTATTTTTTTACTATTTGTAGTTTGGTAATACTGTAAAATGATAAAACTGCGTTTAAGGAAAAAAAAAATACTGTCCCTTTAAATATGTTAATTACTTTTTTCCTCGGGATTTGTCCTGACGTCACATCCGGAGGGGAGCTCTGCTCCTACTTTTTTGTTGGGACTGAGAGAAAAAACTGTCCTTTGGAAGGAGGATTGCGCAGAAGAAAAAAGAAAACATTTAAACTGAAGGGATTTAGAGAAATTACACATTATGGACCTTTATAAAGTTTCGCTTCACAGGAGCACAATGCGGGTGGGCGCGCTTTCCCCGTAAATTTCCTACCGGAGCCTGTTTGTTTTGTAAGTATCCAAGTGTGAGTCGGTGAGCCGTGGGAGCTAACGGTGGTGTTTGTTTTGTTGTAGCGGAGCACGTTCGGTGCGTTCTGTCTAATGAATTCTATCGAAAACTTCCTGCCCGTGCGACGAAACGGTTAAAACAAGTGCCCACCTGTTGCTTTTATTCAGGTAGTTCAGGGCCTGACCGTTACAGGTGTCGCTAGGATTAAACAGGTGTTCCTTTCAATATTCTCGTTTGAGATTAAAACTGAAGATATGGGCAAGAATATTCCAGATTGGTAAAAAGAGCTTTGTTGCGACGGGGGAAAAAGGTGATCTATGTCCTTTTGGGGAATGAAAACACGGACCATACGCTTTTAAATCTGCGCATATTTTAGAAAGGAATGTAAGCATTTGCTGGGTCTAATTTAAATAAATAATATTTAAATAAATAATATTTAAATTAGCCCAAATTCATATGTTCATCTATTTTCTTCTGCTGGGCTTAGTCCTTTTGACCCTGAAGTTAGCATCAGGCTTGTTTTTTCTTCATTGTGTTTAGGCTCTGGAATAAAGGGCTAGTCTGGCCTACATTTGACTGATTTTAAACATAAAATCATCTGACCTTTAAATCAGGACTCTGTAGTTTTAATTTGATTGTAGGTTTAGAGAGTGATATTTTTGGCTGATTGTCAACAACCAAAGGTATAAATCTTTTCAGCTGATTTGTTTTAAACTAACTGCATTCTAGTTCTGGTTGTGTGTTAAACCCAACCTCCAGTCTACTTTCTTCTGAAGGCTGAAAGTGTAACACAGGTTGCAAGGTGTGGACCTTTTAAGTAATAAAGCAATTTTTATCATAGTTTTTTCTTTAAATCAATGAAATATATTGGCTTTGTTAATTAAGAAAAAAGTATTTTTCATTTTCTTTGTTTTAATTTCAATAAAAGCTACACAGATTTGAACAGAAAAACTATTGAAATATATATGTATATGTATAAATGTGTATGTATATGTATGTACATATGTATATGTCTGAATACATGTATCTATGTATACACGTATGTATACATGTATATATCTATGTATACATGTATGTATACATGTATATATCTATGAATATATGTATACATACATACATACATACATACATACATGTATACATACCGGTATACATATGCATAAATGATTCTGATTCTGATGTATACATGTATGTATACTTGTATGCATGTATGTATACATGTATGTATACTTGTATGCATGTATGTATACATGTATTTATACTTGTATACATGTATACATACGTGACAGACAAAACATTGATAGTCCTGTTTTGTGTTAATCTTACAATAGAAAACTGAAGAATTGCAACATGTTTGTAAAGATGCAAAAAGCTGCTAAACCTTCTACAACATTGCAGAATCAAACCCGATCATTAGTGCACCGTTTTCTACTTGTAGAAAAAGCTGTTTATAAGGCCCAAACTTATTGAAACAATGAATTTCTTTACATTGAAATCTATATTTTAATAATTTCTTCAAATAAAACTGTTTTATTTTTTATTTTTTTATTCTGAACATACTGTTTAATTAATATGTTGTGTAACTCTACACCCATTGCTTTTATTGAGAAATTCTCCCTCTTGCAGGGCGTTACCATTTATACGATTCCAATAAAAATCATTGAAGTTGTGCAGAGACACTTTTTGACTAATATATTCCTCTATTTCCAGGTTTCGTGCTGGTACCCACCCTCACAACCATCATGCTGAGTTTTCTGCGCAGGACTTTGGGTCGTCGATCCATTCGCAAACACGCAGAAAAAACCCGTTTACGGGAAGCACAGCGGGCCACGACTCACATTCCTGCAGCTGGGGACGCAACGTCTATCATCACTTGCCGTGTTTCCCTACTGGACGGGACCGATGTCAGCGTCGACCTGCCGGTAAGCACGCTTGCTCCAAGTTGGGCTAAGACAATGAGGCGTGCATGTGTGCAAAGCAGATAAATACAATCATTTTTAAGAATAGTAGACTCACATATGACATGGTTTTGGGGGGGGGGGGGGGCCTTTTGGGAAGGGGCCCCGGTTCGGTTCGGAACCGGGTTGGCCGCTTCGAGGACTAAGGCCTCTATACATGGATCGTGTGCGCTAACCACTGTGCGAAATGTAACACAGCTTTTGAACTATTATTTTCCTCCCTTTTTTTTTTGGGTTTTTAAAACATCAGTGAATCATTAAAACTTTTTAAGTACTGGCTCTCAGGCTGGTATGAGACATAATCTTTCCTCTAAAACGAATAAAAAAAATAAATAACAGGAGTATAACTGGTGACCATTGTGTTCCCCTATCAGTAGAGCAGTCCAGCTAAGCCTCTCAAGTGTGTGTGTTGAAGCACAGTTGATCACCTGTAATTCCATGATCCTCTCCTGAGAACACATGACGGCATCACATGACATGTTGGACTCATCATCAGTGCAGCCACCACTCAATGCTCCCACCCCACAAACCCAGCTTTTATTCTTCATCCACATTTTATGCCATGACTCTTTTTCCACGAAGTAAGTCGCTGCTAATATTGGGAACTATCCAGATGCTTCAATTTTTTTCCCTGTTTTGCTTCAAAGGAGCCAATTTTATTATGGTCTTTACAAACTGATGTCTGTTTTTTTTCTTTAAGTTTTTAGCTGATTGGTTATCACAGTCCATATAAAGTAACAGCAAGTGCAAAAAAGAAGGTTCAAGAGCCTAAGTAGATAAAAAGACAAAAGAGGAACAAAAAAATCCAGCAAAGGATGGATTCATCCTCCTCAGCCGATTATCTTTAACCACAGTTTGAGCTCCTTTAAGAGAAATATTTTCTGTTTTTTCACTTTTGTTGGATTGCATAAGGAAATCTTTTGTTGGATCTGGTTTCTTAAGTCTAGATTAAAATAAAAAATAAATGTTAAAATAAAAAATAAATGTTAATGTAAAATGAAAAGTAGGAGCAGTTGTCCTGTTATCTGAACCATTTATGGTAAATCCACATAAAAAGGTAGAAAATGTTTGTCAATCACACTTTTTTAAAGGGGTTATTTGGCTTTTTGGCATCAAATACAAAAATATTGCACTCAAAATCGATGATAATAAGGACAAAAATGGAAAAAAAACATGCTTTGATAATTGTATTGAGGTATTGACGAAACCCATTTTGTGGCTAATGGATTTAATTGCCTTGTTGATGCAGAACTGCAGCTAATTCACGTTCGGTCGTCTTTTAGGACTTTGGTCTCACACATACCAAATGTTCCTGGAAAAATTTTTGGATTTGGTATAAAGGTCTTTGTGCTGCTAAATTCCTCAGCAGCATAAAACAGTTTTTTTATGTCTTGTGTGTCACAAGCGGTGTCAAGTTGAGACTGACTAAATTCAAATTTTCAGTTTGGACAGAGAAGGTGTATTGTTCTCCGTCTGAGGCTTTTTTGGCCCCATTAGAACGTTATCAGCTTGGACACTTTCTCTCTGTTGCTCTCCTCGTTCTCTGCTTTTGCTTTCCTTTTGGGCTTTAATTATTAATGGGGTTGTTGGAAGCCTTTTGGTTTATTTTATTTTTTGTTCATTTTTTATATTTGCAGCTGCTTAAATCAGAGAGGTCTTTAATATTTACAGTCATTTAATGCTGTTCCTTCGAGCTTCCCTGGCCGCCTTGGAATTCTGACCTTGATGTAGTTTTCCAGTCATTTCAAATTGGTTTCCAAATCCTTTCCGTCCTCTAATCATGAATTGTTTCCTGTTGAGGTTTTTATCATCTAGCAGCATCTGAATGTACGCTGTGTGAGTAAAACTAACAGTTCGTGTGAGTTTGGCTGTTATCAGTGCTGAATAAGGAGACTAGCTAAGGGGATAATGTTGTGTATCAGGAATAAAGATGGATTCTCTCAATTCCATTTTTTTTAATGTGCTGAGAATCCCTTAGATTTTAGTTCCCGGGTACTGATTCTCATATGTTTGTTTATTCTACACAAACTAGCTTCCCTTTAAAACTAATGATGGTGATAAGCACAATCCTGTTTGTTTCTGCTGTTTTTGTGCTTTCAGCTGAGAAACTGCACTCCTGACCTATTAGGTTTCAATATAATAATATTAAACGCCTTAAAAAGAAAGCAGATAATGTTTGAAATGCAGGATTTGTTGGCTGCTTTCCCGCTGCACAGATGGGAGTGCCAAAGACACAGAAGTTCACAGAGACACAGGAGTTAAGATTAAATAAAAAAAAAATGGAATCATCATAACTATCATTATATTTAACAATGATTTTATCATAGTAGAGCATCATGGACTGTCATTCAAGGAGTAGACCACGAGACTAAAACCAGACGTTCATTGTGTATAATAACGGAAACAATACCGGTAATAGTGCATTCAGACCGAAAGTGGGGAGTTCATCGTGCAGGTTACTCCCCGCACCGTGTCCGGTACCTCCTTGTACATCTACCTACGCAGAAAATGGCTGTTGCCCGATGCTGGGCAGCGACAGACCGGGGTCTGTGCTGGAGGAAGCTGTTCTTCTACAGCTAAATTAAGCTTGATAACTTTTTTTTTTAAAGCCACCTTTGAAACCTCTTGAGAGCATTTCTTATTTCTACCTCTAACCTTTAACTGAAAAAAGCTTTGCCTCCAAACTTCCTTGATTGGTTGCGGCGTTGCAATTTAATGGAAAAGTTCCGCTGTTTCAACTTCAGCGATCACTGCTTCGCTCTCTCCATGCTGCTGGCCACCTCCCCGCACAGTTTGCATGCTATCCACTGGACACCGCGCGCAGCCTGAATGCACCTTTAACAGTGCACAATGTAACTGAGCTTTCAACTGTATGGCAGCTAAAACATTATGTTCACGTGTAATATAAACATGTGGTTTTTACTAAAGCAGCTTGAGGCGGGTCATATGCTGAATATTTCCCTGTAAGGCCTGTCTGTTTATACTAATTTAATTGATAAAACAAAACCACACTTTGTTCTTCTTAAAGTGAGCCATCGCTCTGTCTTTGATTATATATCAGCGTTTATTTAGTAGATCATTTAGAGTAACTTATCTCTGAGCACTGCAGGCTAATGGGACTAAACAAGGTGCTATCAAAACAGAAACAAAAAGGCACAAAGCGTGTAGCTTAGTCATGCAGTTCGAAGCTGTATGACTTCATCATTGTTAGTAATCCTTCCTGATTAAAACGGTTCCCCCTTTTTTTTTTTTTTTTTTTAAATCACTTGTTCACTAGTTATTACTGTTTCCATCTTGCAAGCTTACAAATGCTTCTTAAATCCATATTATGGGACTTCATATGCTACTGTTTGCTGTAAACATCGCTAAACTCCTGTGTCCAAACTACATTGCTGTTTCTCTACAGCCAGCATTAGCTCTGTCTTGGAAAGAGACTTTCTGTAGGTTTTTACTGAATAGCTCTGGTGGATTTTCTCTGTACATTTTCTCACTTGAAAGGGATAGATTCTACATCCAACTGGATTTCACTCAATAAACAGCCTTTATATTGCCTGGTTTGCTTTTATTTAGGCGTCGTTAATGATGCTTTTACAGACAGTTGGTCAAATGGGTGAAAAACCTCAACAAAGGAAAAGAAGTTTAATGCAACTATTTAATTGACTATTAAACTGACAAAATGTAAAAATTAGGAAATCATTATTGCTGTCAAGAAAACGTATTGCTTAACCTTTAGATAAAAAAAATTAATCCCAAACTTCCTTTCAATTAAATAATATCAAATATTTTTATAATAAATTCAGCCAAAAATGAACTCCAACACAGGGTTTCCGCGGGTCATTAAAAATCATTAAAAGTCATTAAATAATTACTTTTTAAATTAAGGCCTTATTTGGCATTAAAAATCATTAAATGTGTTTATTGTGGCATTTAAAATGCTTTATTAAAAATAATGTTTATAAAAACAATTTTGTCAGACATATTATATCACGATTTATTTGCGTGGAACTGCTTCCGGGTGATCGCAAAGCTGTATGTTCAGAAAAGAAGCTTGAGTCTGAGAAAAAGCTAGAGAATAGGGGAAAAAAAGCAAATTTCAACAAAAGTGGCTGAAAAATGAGGAATTCGGGACATGGCTGCAGCCTGTCGATGGGTACCTGTTGGTGGCATTAAAATGATTTCTAAGAGCATTAAAAAGCATTAAGTTAGAGTTATTCATTTGTGTATAAACCCTGAAACAAATCTAAATAAAACTTTTACAGCCAAAGCATGTTAAGTCAAAATGTAGGAAATTTAAGTTTAACACTACACTTTTTTGTTAAAATAAATTTTAGTTCAAATGTAAACCCTTATGTGCATTCACATCAATTCATTCTTTACTTTAACATACTCATTTTAAGTTGCCTTGTCACAGTTTATTTCCCATTTACCTGATAAAACAATTCCAGGGAAAAGCAAAATGTTTAATATTTCAACGTTAATCTTAAGTAGACTTATATAGTGATGTTGCCTCCAACACCGAGACTTTGATGCAGGGTTCAAACCTCACAGGGTCGTTATGGTGAAGCAGTGGGTCAGAGCTTGCTTCGTGCGATGTTCCTGATTTTGTTTGTTACCTTTACTGCCACATTCATGACCAACTCCCCTAACTGCTTCGAGTTTAGAGCCGGAGCTTTGAACATTTGCTGTGACTTGGTGCATTTATGGCTCAAGCGCTGGTTCATGTCCCCATGCTACACATATTATACATCAAAAACAGCTCTCATTTATGGATATTAAGAGTATTTTGATTCTCCTTTCATATAGAAACATCAAGGGAGCCTTCCTAAGTGTAGAAATATTTTGATTTTTAAGCCACCTAATAAGGTAGTGTACATTCAATGTGTTTATTAGAAAGCCTAAAACCTATCCAGTAGTATAATATTTATAGTAATAATAATTGAACATCATTGACAGCGGAGAAATGG